AACCGAGGTTACAATAGTAATCGGAGACGTTCCCTTTCGAGTTTTCACGAGACATTGCGTAGGTTTTTCCATTATGGGAACGACATCCAATCCTGCCGTAAGAGAGGCTACGAGCAGCCTGAACAAGTTACACACTCCGCGAGATAAAACACACATATAATTCCCATATAACCAATAGCGACGCTTGTTAGGCGGGCTCTCAGCTGATAGATGAAATAAGCCAATGAGCGTCTAAAACCCAGGTATACTAAATTTGCATATCTGGCCAGTAATAACGTAAGCTGCGCTGAGAACAGGGCAGAAGCAGCAACAGTATTGAGAGGGGGACTGCACATAGATAACTGTGTTAAGCAGCATAATACATAACATGATGATGGTACACGAATTGAATTAGACATCACTTGGTAAGGACTGAACATCTAGCTTGTAAAACCTGGCGAATGTATTCTGAGACAAAAGCGCCAATCTCATTGGTCAGCCAGTTTTTAACACGGCGCGTAAAACCAAAAAAAAATGAGCCCAAGGCGTTTTCTAAAAAAATGCAAGCGCCTGGCATTTATGTCTTGCGTTTTGTGCATCGGTGTGCACACTCACATTGGTGCCCTTTGTTTAGTCACGAGGTATTAAACATCGGCGACAATCGCGCGCCATAATCGTCCCGGTGTACACAAGCCTTAACTCTAACCCTAATTTAAAAATAACTGCAGGACTTGAGAATTTGAGACCACTGTGGACATCTATACTTTATTTTTATGAAATAAAGATATTTTTTGCACAATATTTCAGATACACTACACTTAAACAATAACTTTTATCCCTTTATCTAGTCTTTAAAAACTAGTGTAACACACTGCCTTTACCTATACAACCAATTTTATTTAACAATTTGAACATAAAATGAAAAAAATATTAATGTTTAATTCCTTAAAACATTGGCAAGTAGTCCCAATTAAAAAAACACTGCCTTAAAATAGACAATTCTCTTGTTTCAACAAATCTCACCTGTATAGATTCTGGAGAGGTTGAGCAACTGTCCTCCTCTCTGACGTGAAAGCAGAAGAACCCAATAATCACTTATGCTGTCCACATTTACTCATTTAGCAGATGCTTTTATCCAAAGCGACTTACACGTAGGAGAGCATATAACAGGTTAAGGCTAGATGGCATACAGCAAAAACTACTGGGCATGCGCACATCAATATAGCGTAATTTTTGTCACACTGTACAACAATAATTACTATTTTTGCATTATTGTAAGGGGTAGGTTTAGGGTTGGGGTAGGTGTAGACATTAATAAAACACGATCTAATAGATAGAAAACTCAATTTATTGTTACCTTCCGGTTTTTGCTGTATCCCTTCTAGCCACAACCAATATAACAAACACTAGATCCAGCGCGAGGTCACATGCTTCATTCTTAACGTGTACTTTTGTCGCGTCGCATGATCGCATGCGGTGTAGATGCTCCGTTAGGTCAAATAATAACGTAGAAATTCGATCGCGTGATTCGTGTCATTGCGACATAACACATACTTACAGTGTTTGAAAAAGGACTTAATCGTCCTCTGCTTTTTTCTGGGGTGCATTTTACGCCCAAACCACCCAAAGAGCAAAGTGAAATTCTGTTGCTCCTCCAAAGCAAAAGGAGCAACAGGATATTTAAAGCTCATGACAGACGCGCCCAAGAGATGATTCGCCTTCTGATTGGCTGAATGTTACTTCACTCAGATCTAAATAAACAAATCAGAGAACACGGGCTGAAATATCGGCGGTGGGTCAAACAAAGTGCAGGGGACATGCCCCCGTCCCCTTCTACGCCCCTGCCTGTCACATAGGTCAGAGCTGCGCGTGTTTTCATAAGCTGGAAACATTGTCAACAAAAAA